ACTACAACAATGCCCCCAACGGATTCGAAGTAACATAAGTAACATTTTAACATAAGTGGGAAAAGTGTATAAAACAAACAACACGCAAACGGATGGGGTGGGCAGGACAGTACCTTCCGGGTGATAATTGCCTTGCATTTGTCATATGGGAGAAAACTCGGAAAAACTCCTACCAGAGCCTGGCAATCAATGTGAGACGATTTTACAATTGTCACAATCGCCATCGAGTCTTCCTGTTTCTGAAAACAATGACTACAACAATGCAGCCAGCGAATTCGAGCCTCAGCAGTCGAACTAAAGGAGCTCAAACCAAAATTCGACAAGAGAGTCGAACTCAAGATTTTCGTGTTGAACTAGATAAAACCTTTGGCTGTTAGGTCTCTCTGCAAGGAGAGAGAGCTAACAGCTAACGGTTCAACAACAAGAGATGTTCATTTTCAATTCAGTTGCCACCAAAGAGCCAAGTCCTCGTTCTCTGAATATGGCCTAGGAATTTACTAAGCTGCTCACTTGTTTATAGAAGTGCACACCACTGTGCATGTCAATATCATCCTTTAGAACAATGTGAAAAGAAAAAATGTTTTATCCGTGAGGGCTTGGGTCAGAATAGTCCCACTGCACGTCATAAAAGGCGACTAAAATGGGTACCCAGTGCCCGGGGTATAACCGGGTGGGATAAAATCAGGCCTCTCCTTTTGGGTACCCCATATCTTTGTACCGCAAGGTAAAGGACAAAAAGAGACTGCATTTTTTACCTTTTATAATGACTCGTCGGCTTAAGAATGTGGAAAATATTGCCACGTCCGTCGCGCAGTAAACTTGGAGTGATTTTTTTATTGTTTGAGAACAAACACATGGGTTCATGGACTTGGTCTAGATGTTGCTGTCGACCAAGTGGGATGAGAAACAGCAATAGAAATGACTAGAGGAGAGATTAAAAGGTAAATGCCTCACTTTTATATATCGTTTACTGGTCTAAATAATCTCAGTACACAACCAGTCCTACTATCAATGAGAGACTTTTTCTCGACTTATTTTTTTGCCCTACTGGCAAATAAGCTCCGGTCTTGCCAGGATTTAGTGAAATTACGTACATTTTTAATTTGGTATAACTTAACCATGAAAAAATATTAGCGTAAACTGCAATGATACTCAAAGAAAAATTTTAATTCAAATATATTTACATATTAACATTAAAGTCAGCATTTCACTGTTCTAGCAACTGGCGCATTTTGTTTTCCTCATCGGAATTAACATAAAAATTTGCATAATTGCTGTGGTATGCATTAATAAGGTTAGTATGGCTTAATAATAAAAGTTACCCAATTATAAAAGTTTTAGTAAAATTCAAAATTTTGAACAATTTTTTTTTTGTAAAATAACTGTTAATAAAAGAAATTTTTTTAAAAATAAGTGAATATTTAAAAGAAAATTTAAACAAAAAAATTTTTTTACTTAAAAATTCATTTGAGAAAATAGAAATACTAATGTAATCCTTTAAAAATCGAACATACTATAGTTGGTGACATTTTTGTATCATAAGTAAGAATAAACAGAGTTAAACATGATCAGACCACCAGATGGCACCAGGCAAGCATTAACAGTTAAAAAATTTAACAATCAACATTTTTTTATTAAAAATTTAATAATTACGTTATTTAACAATTAAAAAAATTAGCATTTGGTTCTAAAAGAAAAAATAATAAATTTTTCAATTTTTTTCCCTGCATACCAAATAAACAATATAATAAATTCAGAGAAAAGATTGAATTTCTAAATACTATAGCTTTTAAATTGTACTGGCACATTGCACACATATATATACACTCAAGAGCCAAAACATTATGGCCACCTGTCAATAACGAGTTGGCCCCCCTTTGGCGCGCAACACAGCTTCAACCCGCCTTTGCATGGATTAATATCAGTTAAATACCACTTCCACCTGATCACGTGCCTTCCACGTCATCCAGGCGAGTTCATTGCAAAATGTAAGGGAGGTCATAATGTTTTGGCTCTTGAGTGTATATAGTAAGACCCTTCTTAACACTACTCCATTTAACTCCATAAGCCAATAAACAGTCCATTGGAAAGCTTTGTAAGAATTACAGTATAATGTATGCTGCAAATATCAACAGCCTCATCAATTGGGACTAATAGTCGAGGGACTAGAGCGAAACCATAGGTTTCAGGTTCGAATCCCTTGCAGTTACAATAATGCTTATAGTCATTCGGAACCCATTTTAAACCGTAGGTCCAGGTCTAATATGACTGTTGGGCGAATACTGACAACCCTACCCTATAGAAAGAAAGCATTTCCTGATTCGGAATCTGCTAGTAGACAGAAGGTCTAATAATGCCAGGGGACTGTCTGACTATAATTTCAGGGAACTTACTTCGACAGTAAACATCAATCCTTCCTAGAAAGAGATGGCCGAGAAATGTTTGAAAATCAATCTGGAAGAATTTGGGGTAGGCGCTAAACAAGCATGGCGACTCAAGAGAATCTGCTATTGATGTCGAAGAAATTGTCAGGTTAACTTATGAAACAGGGTTGGATAATAGAAATGCGCAGGATGTTGAAGAATTATTGCAAATTAAAACTGGTCAAAGTCTCTGCTTAAAGAAGATTATAACGTTATCATTTTTCAACTCCTTCTAGTAGCTCACACTCTCCCTATATATATCTTGTTCACATTTTCAATCGTTCATAAAATACTTTTTATCCATCCACCCAAGTTCAAGTACATTTTTTTGAAACTTGTATTGGATGGCACTCGATGTTAATGCAGTTTATTTTCAAATATTAATTCAGCCATTAAATTTAATTCATTAATTTTAGCTTTTTTTTAGATTTAAGTTGCATATATCTACCCATAGATGGCGCCCGATAAACTTCAAAAAAATGAATGAAAATTATTTATAACGGACGTTCTGCAATAGAGTGAAAAAAAGTAGGAATTGACTTACATTTTTTTTTTTTTTTTTTTCCATATTACTTGTTGAAGATGTGGTTACAAAAGGAATTCAACGGATTTTTTGAGAAAAAGTTTAGCTTCTATAAAGGAAAATTATGGATCATCATTATTGCTTATGTAAAGCAATTTAAACTAAGACAAAAAGACAAGACGAAACGTCATTTATGCGATGTCTTTGCTATGAACCAAACAGAAATAAAATCAAACGAAGAATTTTCTTCGTGCCGAACATAATTTCTAAAATCGATTTTTCTTTTCATGAAAGTTTTATGAATAAAAATCAATATTAGGAATAAAGAAATCTGTAATTAATGTAATAAAAAAGTATTTTTAACATTAAATGCTACAAAATAATACAAAATGATAATTTTTTTTTTATTATTATTATTTATTCTGTTTCGCCTATCATCATTATTTACGATGACCTCGTTTAATGCTGTTTCTTTCGGGAAGTTATTGAGGCGTCTCACTATCAATATACACTGAAGTGACAAAAGTCATGGGATAGCAATATGCAAATTTTCAGATGGCAGTAGCATCGCGTAGAACAGGTATAAATGCGCAGTGCTTTCGCAGAGCTTTCATTTCTGTTCAAGTTATTCATGTGAAGAGGTTTTGACGTGATGATGACCGCACGACGGGAATTAACAGACTTTGAACGCGGAATGTTAGTTGGAGCTAGACGCATGGGTCATGCCATTTCGGAAATCGTTAGGGAATTCAACATTCCCAGATCCACTGTGTCAAGAGTGTGCCGAGAGTATGAAATTTCAGGCATAACATCCCACCATGGACAGCGCAGTGGTCGACCGCCTGCACTTAACGACCGAGACCGGCGACGTCTGCAAAGAGTCGTAAATTCTAACAGACAAGCAACACTGCGTCAAATAACCGCAGAAATCTATGTGGGCGTACAAGGGACTTGTCTGTTAGAACTGTGCGGAGAAATTTGGCTTTCTTGGGCTATTCCAGCAGAAGACCGACTCGAGTGCCTTTACTGACAGAACGACATCGCTTGCAGCGACTCTCGTGGGCACGGGAGCATATCGGTTGGTCCCTAGATGAATGGAAAACCGTGGCCTGGTCCGATGAGTCACGATTTCAGTTGGTAAGAGCTGATGGTGGGGTTCGAGGGTGGCGCAGACCCCACGAAGCCATGGACCCAAACTGTCAGCAAGGACTATTCAAGCTGGTGGTAGCTCCGTAATGGTGTGGACTGTTTTTTCATGGCATGGACTTGGTCCTCTGGTGCGACTGGACCGAACATTGACTGGAAATGCTTATGTTCAGCTACTTGGAGATCACTTGCAGCCATTCATGGACTTCATGTACCCAAACAACGATGGGATTTTTATGGATGACAATGCGCCATGTCACCGGCCACAACTGTTCGCGATTGGTTTGAAGAACATTCTGGACAATTCCAACGAATGATCTGGCCACCTAGATCGCCCGACATGAATCCCATCGAGCATTTATGGGACATCATCGAGAGGTCTGTTCGTGCCCAAAATCCTGCACCATCAACGCTTTCACAATTATGGACGTCTATCCAGACAGCATGGCTCAATATTCCAGCAGAAGACTTCCAACGACTTGTTGAGTCCATGCCACGTCGAGTTGCTGCACTTCGCCGGGCGAAAGGAGGGCCGACACGATATTAAGAGGTATCCCATGACTTTTGTCACTTCAGTGTATATATGCTAAGATCTCGTTGGACACGGTGACACGTTTCAATAAGTTCAGGTTCGAGTCCTGAATATGACTGCTCTAATATGATGTATCCCTAGTAGGGTTGTAGAGCGTTGGGAGCAGTGCTGACAACCCTACCCCGTTAAAAAGAAAACATTGCATTTTGCTAAATCTGTCAGTATTCAGATTGCCTTGTCCCACCATGTGGCCGTTGTGCCATAGATATATATATACTCATCCCAATTCTTTTCACAACAATAAGCCCATCCGGCCATGTTTTTTGTTCTTATCTGAATGCACATTTCATCCGTTGATGTCACTGCTTTTAGAAACGAAGATACCATGCTGAATACACCGGTTCTCGTTAGATCACCGAAGTCAAGCATCATTGGGCACGAGCAGTACTTGGGTGGGTGACCACCTGGGAACACACCGCCTGACGTTGGCATTCACACATTTGGGACCTGAATGGCCGAGTGTCTAGCGTTCTGGCGCTCGGTGCCACAGGTTTCGGGTTCGAATCCCGGCGGTGCCATAGATGTTTGTAGTGGTTCGGAATCCACTTTAGGCCGTAGGTCCCGGTCTCCTATGACTGTAAGAGCGTCACGGAGCCAAAGTCAGACTTCTACCTACGGGTGCTCCATCACAACAGAAGCTGCTTCCTTCCCCTTCAGTCATGAGTACGTATGGGCTCGTGGGCTTGGCCAGCCAAGTGGGATAAGAAACAACAACAACAGAAACGGAGATATTCGACGCTGATTTTGAAGGCGTCCATAAAAAAATCACCTCGCATCAATAATCAAGCTAGCTCATGGGACTTTCCCGGGATTTATCCCGTATGACACACATAAGAGGGGGAAGCTATCCGTAGTGTTCGGTTCGAAATTCAACGAACAAGGCCGAACCGAAAACTTTCGTGTATATACCTGGTATGGACACGTTAAATCTATAGGCTGAGAAGTCCTTCCGTTGGGTTCCAGAAAGACGGCAAGTGGAAGTACAGGTCCTCTGTTGCGAATCCTTTATAAAGCTGGATCTGCTACATATCTGTCAAATGATTTAGGTCAAAATATCCAGCATTCGAAAACAACAACCTCAAAAAAGTAGCTTTCAAAAAAAAGGGTGCTGATTTTATTAACTAACATTATAACATTAGAATATATATATATATAGTAAAAAATTAATTAGTTGTCCTTCCTCACAAACCATGTCAATAACGCAAACAAATTCACTAACAATATTCCCAAAAATTTACATGAAATACATTAAAGCAAAATTTATCGAGAATGTCACGTGACAATTTAAGTTTTTTTTTAAGATTGTCTGCATAAACTCAAAAATTTAAAATACTTTTTTTGTAATAAATATTTTACCCATAAAAATCTATGGGTATTGTTTACGGAAGCTGGGTTTTTGGTGTCGTTGACCACTTTCAATTTTGACATTACCACTCAAATGTTTAATTTTTTAAAATTTTACCAGCTTTTTTTTATGTATGTATATTTAAACTCCCTTCATGAGCCTTTTTTTATTTTTTATTTTATTTTTTTACCAGCTATTTATATAAATAATTGACTTAAAATTGCTCTAAAATACCGTCTGGTGAAAGCAAAGACCATTTTATTTCAAAGTAAAAAATGGGTTTTTTCAAGAAAAAAAAAATCATTTGGAATTCTAAAGTTTTTATTATTCTATCATTTTTTTATTTTTAGAGTGCTGTTACTCATTTTGTTCTTACATTAAATTCTAAGTTTTGTGGGTAACCAATGCTATTTTTTTTCTTTAATTTCTTTTAATGTAACCTCTGTTGAAATAAATAATTATTCATTATTACATTCGTAAAGATGGGAACGCAATAATACGAGACAAATATAAATAGAAAATAAGTAGAGATTATCCGAAAGACTCTTTAGTTTGTAGTGCCAAATACTAGATGGCAGCACAAACGATTATTATTATCTCTTCAATTGGATTTACATTAGTTTATTCTCTTATAAATTTCTAGTTGTCGAATAGATATTAAAATGCGAACCAATTTGAAGAAAGTATTCTTAGCTTTTATAAAAGAGGTTTTCCCATTTAGTCATTAATTTCTGAAATTTTGAATAAAATAAAAATTGATATATTTTTATTTTATTCAAAATTTCAGAAATTAATGACTAACTTACGGCTTAAATTACTTTTAAGTACAATGTTATTTCCATACAAATGAATAATTGCTTATTGGTATTATTGCTTAAAATAGCAAATAATAACAAACTTTTGAATTGCGGATGAATTTTTTGGGTTGATATCTGAGGAGTTTTTATAATAAACATGTATAAAATATTGATATTTTGCATAATACTTATAATTCATATATATATATATTCATACGAAATAATATATATTTTGCATAACATATTTTTGCAACTTATGCCGCAATACCTTTATTTTGAAAAATAAGAACTGGTATCAATTACGACAGAGTCTTTGATCAACAGTCGGTTGCTCGGTAATCAATCTACTTGCTGTCAATCTGAATGGTTGCCTGGCAACCGATCTGCTGGCTGCGGATGGCGTCAGATTACTTGGGAGTTTTCTATTTTTTCTTACTAAAAACGACACTCAAAAGCTAGCAGAAAAGCGTAAAATTTACCATAATGTTCTAGGGAAAGGCGTTGATACACTAAAGTGGTGTTCATTCACTTGGAGTTACCAACAACCTAAAATAACGATGAGCCATACTATAGAATACAAGCATCGAAAAAAACGAAAACTTAGCAATGAGAGCTCCGCGATCAACTTGGCGAAGTTATTTAGAATAACCTAAAATTTAGAAAATCTATTTAGAACATCCGGCTTTTATTAGAAAGTATTTATGAAAAGTGGTAGGGTACTTACGTATTAAGGTACTTACGTATTAACGCTACCTTGGCTACAAATTTGGCGGTTTTTAAGTGTCGCCAATCTAACAGCTATAGATTTGGTGGTTTTTAAGCGGTGCCAATCTAACAGCTACAGATTTGCTGATTTTTGACGCCATTTTTTAGTGCTACGAAACTGCGTATTTGGGATTTGCCAGAAACAGAACAAGATGCAATTTTATTTTTTCAGGAGCGAAATATTTTACCAAAACAGCGAAAATGTCCCAATTCCCATGATATGAAACTTTATTGTGGTAAACGTAAGTTTTGAAAATGCAATTTCAGTCAGTGTGCTTATCATGTGGGACTTAGAAAAGACAACTGGTTTGAGGGAAGCAGAATTCCCTTTAAAACCGCCAAATCTGTAGCTGCGGTTGGCATTCAAAAGATAACTGCGTGCGCGTGCGAACAACAAGATTGCTCTTTATTGGCGCAACTGTAGCCAAGGTAGCTTTAATACGTAAGTACCAGTGGTAGTATTCGCTCTGGTACTCGGCGGCACAAGTTTCGGGTTCGAGGTCTGGCGGTGCCATGGATGTTTGTAGTGGTTCGGAATCCACTTTAAACTGTTGATCTCGGTCTAATATAACTATAGAGCGTTGGGCATAGGGCTAATAACTCTACCCCGTATAAAGAAAACACCTCCTGTTTTGAATTCTGCCAGTTGGCAGTGGCCCACCATGAGGCTGTTGCGCCAATCAAGGTTTAGTTTGTCGCTCTACGGTCATTTTGAGCACACTTTGGGCTAATTAGATTGGGACCTACAGTTTAACGTGGATTCCGAATCACTCACAAACACCCATGCCACCTCCAGAATTCGAACCTGAAGCCTGGGGTACCAAAGGCCAGAGCGCTAACAACTTGATCCTGACGCCGCACGCCAATGAAGAAGAAGAAGAAGATACGCATTAGTCAGATATACACAGTGCTAGACTTTTTTTTTTTTTTTAAAGTAGTTATTGATGCGATTTTTTTTTCTTCTAGCTTTCTTTAATCTTTTTTAATCAATCAATCTCTAATCAATCCAATTTAATCTTTTATCAATCTTTTAATATTGTGTTATTCAAAAACTTTAATTGCTACAAATTTAAATAATTTTTAATTGCAATTAAAAAAATTCCGAAAATACCTTTCTCTCCGATTATGCCACTCTTTTGAATCCATACGACTTGGCCGATTACTAGTTTTCCACACAATCAGGAGTCCAACCATATGTGCATGATCCATAAGTTCGCAGTCGTGCTTATAGTCAGTAAATACGATCCACGAATTTCAAAAACTGTGCATCTATGCCATACAGGAATACACTGTCTTCATTGTAATACATTCTTAAAACGACTTGAGTGGAATGGTGGTTAGCAAGTTGTGTGGTTCATCCAGAGCAGTGGTCTCCAAACTGGGGTACGCAAAGTGATACCTGGAGTACGTCAAATACGTAAGTGACACTTGTGAGTGTATCATGATATATCGCGTAAGCGCGAGGTTATCTGTGTCTGGTTTCAGTTTGGGGAGCTCAATATCATAAATGCCCCGACCCTAAAGCCCATGTTACAGCGGCTTTAAAGTGCATGCAGGTGTATATGTATATAATATATGGTGTACTATAATTATTTTCATCTCAGGGAACGATCTAGTGTTCAGTTTGAATCCCAGTAAATGAGCCGAACTAAAAGTTCTGCATTTGTGTTGGGGATGAAAATAATAAACCTGCAAGCTGGAAATTCCCTCCATTGCATTAAAAGAAGGAAAGAGAATATGGCATCACCAAGTACCTATCCGACGGATGTTAGTTTCGAATTACAAAGGTACCACCGAAAGAGTAGTTTCAGTGTCAAGTGGTCAACATCAATTTGATTGGTTTGCTTTAGTTTGATCATTTGATCAAACAAGATCATTTTGTGCACACGACAGCTAAACAGACCGGGATATACAGTTTAACGTGGATTCTGAACCACTCACATCCATGCCAACAGCCAAGATTCGAACCTGAAATCTGTGGTACCAAAGGCCAGAGCGCTAGCCAATTGGCCATCAAGCCGCACATCAGTTTGAGGATTCATTAGTTGATGGTCTTAGAAGCATAAATGGCCACATATTTAAAAAAAAATTCTTTGAATTCAAATTCGAATTTCACCTAATGTGAATTATCATTTTCTACCATTCTAACCTGAAGAATAGGTTAAAAAAAATTATTACCTAAATAATCTTTATCTGGGGCCTGAATGGCGAGTGGCTAGCGCTCTGACGCTCGGTACCACAGGTTTCGGGTTCGAGTCCCGGCGGTGCCATGGATGTTTGTAGTGGTTCGGAATCCACCTTAAACCGTAGGTCCCGGTCCTAATAGGATCGTAGAGCGTTGCGGCGGCATTATTACTCCGCGTCCGTAGCTTATCTTCAAGTTACACAATGCAAAGTGAGTAACGTCTGTGTGTCCAAAACCAAGCTGTCTATGTGTTTGCCAGCTGCATTAGAACAAAAAAAAAATAATCTTCATATAATCGTAACCGTACGTTATTATTTCGAAA